GCTTCAGGGTGAGGCGTGGCTGCCTGTGTTCCCTCGACTTTAGGGCAGTCTCTTTTGGGCGACGGAAGCTCCCCAAATGCAGTCGCCAGCCACTTCGATCGGCCGGTAGAAGCGGCCTCGGGGCGAGTGCACACATACACACACACTCCCCTCGCCACGAGGCTTCTTCTGTCGGCAGACGAAAGCTCCCTTGAAGGCAGAGTCCCCAGCTGCTTTGGGGCGAGGTGTGGCACACACACACTCCCCTCGCTGCGAGGCCGCTTCTACCGGCCGATCAAAGTGATTGGTGACTGCATTTGGGGAGCTTCCATCGCCTGAAAGAGACTGCCTAAAGGCAAGGGGACATGGGCAGCCACGCCTCGCCCTGAAGCGGCTGGGGACTCTGCCTTCAGGGAGCTTTCGTCGGCTGATAGAAGCGGCCTCGCGGCAAGGTACGTGCGTATGGGCCACTCTAGGTGGGGGAGGAAATTAAGTCACCCCCGAAAAGATGGCCTACCCGTTTTTGCAGGGGTCAAAAAAAAATAAGGCCCGGCCTTATTTTGTGAGAAACACGATAGCTTGATACCTCCTCTCTGGGGCAGCCCCTCAGATACTGGAAGGCTGCTCTCCTGTCTCCCCTGGTCCTTCTGTTCCCTAGACTAGCCATGCCTGGTTCCTGCAACCGTTCGTCATACGTTTTAGCCTCCAGTCCCCTAATCAACATGTTAATGAATCAATTCTGGATACATGTGAATTTTTAAAAAAAGTATATTACTTTCTCTTCCTATTTCAAAGAACTTGGTAAAATAGATTTTCTTTTCATTTTAATCTTGCTTGTGCCACCGTGTGCGTCAGGCTAAATAGGGTTTTGTTCACAACATAATTTCCCCTTTTAAAAATTTCATGCCTCCATTTCTCAGTGTTTTACGAAGGAGGATTTTTCCTTCTCGATTTCCTCCTCCCACCATTCTGTAATTTGCAAGAGGTCTTACCACTAAGCATGGAGCGTGATCTTCCATTCTTTAATAACTCCGACTAGCACAGAATTTTGAGTGTGTTGGCTCATTGCAAATTTAAAAAGTGGATAAATAGAGGTCTGTTGTGAATCAAAGGCCAGAATATTCAGAAGATCAAAGCGGGCATATTAATGAAAGAATTGTGTTTTGGGTTTTTTTTGTGGACAGTAGATGCTCCTTAGGAAAGAAAAATCCTCCTGTGAGCTAATATAACCCTTGGTTGTCAAGATCGTGTAAATTATGAGTACTGCTGTATAAAACCTTAGTAAGGCTACACTTGGGATACCGCATCCAGTTTTGGTCAAAAGATGTTGAGACTTTGGAAGAAATGCGGAGAACAACTAGGATGATCAAAGGCCTGGAGACAAAAACATATGAAGAATGCTTCCAGGATTTGGGGTTGGCTACTCTAGAGAAAAGAAGGAGTAGGGGAGACATGATAGCAGAATTCCAGTATTTGAGGGGCTGCCATAAAGAAAAGGGGGTCAAATTATTCTCCAAAGCCCCAGAAGGCAGGACAAGAAACAGTGGATGGAAACTGATCAAGCAGAGAAGCAACCTGGAATTAAGGAGAAATTTCCTACCAGGGAGGACAGTTAACCAGTGGAACAGCTTCCCTTAAGACACTGTGGGTGCTTCATCACTGGAGGTTTTTAAGAAAAAACTGGACAGCTGCATATCTGAAATGATATGGGATTTCCTGCTTGAGCAGAGGCTGGACTAGAAGACCTCCAAGATTTCTTTCAGCTGACTTCCACATTGTCCACCTCACAGACTCTCAGACTTTATTGGCATATTAATGTATTGGATTATTTCCTAAACATTTCGATCACTCTAGCTCTGTAATGGGAATTTACCTTGTGCCAGGATGGGGAGTTCAGGTTCTCCAGAGTTTACTTCCTCTCTAAAATGGACTTTTTCCCCCTTCATTGGCCTACCCCTGCAATACTCCTTGTCTGCTAAATTGTCTTGGCATTTATAGTCTGATTCCAGACAGGCGCACATGCGTTTGCTTTAGGGAGGCCATCTAAATGATTTTTTAAAAAGCCAACCTACACAAAACAGCAAAGTAATATTTCTCAGTGGATCCTGGATGAAAAATGCATGAGCAAAACAGTGGCAGAGACATTTTGCTTGCTTGTTCAGGAAATGTGGATCTTGGGGAGCAATTAAACCTTTGGAGTTTGTCTTGCCCACAAGTTCTCCCCCTTTTCTTGGAAAGTTATTTTGTAGACTTTAAACTACTAATTTGTAAAAACCCTTTAACCACTTTTCTGTAAGCTCTTTGTTTTAGAACTTCTTTGTCCAAAATCAAAGCAATCTGGAAAATATTGCCTTTAATTGAGATGCCAGTGTGCCTGTTGTACTATAACTGGCCAAGTGATGCTTCCTCATTAACGTCTTGTGAAATCAGTAACACCCGTTTACCTTTTGCCGTTGAGCTCTTTAAGGGTGGGGAAAAGATTGGCTCCTAGTTTTCTCTGGATTTAATTGGAGATGAAATGGTTGGCAGTAAGTCTTGGGAAAAATTGTTAAGACTTTTACAGAGAAGATGTTAGGTTAAAACAGTGCAGTATCCAGATTCAATAACAATAGCGCTTAGATTTATATGCCGCTTTCCAGACCTCTCTAAGCAGTTCACAGAGTCAGCCTATTGCTCCCAACAATCTGAGCCCTCATTTTACCCACCTTGGAAAGATGGAAGGCTGAGTCAACCAATCTTGAATAAAGATTGGACAAATCCTTCCGACTTGGGATGGGCTTACTCTATCTGCCTGTCCAGGAAGAGTTAGTGGGCCCATGCCAGATTGAACACAAGAGCCGTGGTGGCGCAGTGCTTAGAATGCAGTACTCCAGGGCTACTTCTGCTGACTGCCTACTGCCTACAATTTGGCAGATTGAATCCCACCAGGCTCAAGGCTGACTCAGACTTCCATTCTTCTGAGGTGGGTAAAAGGAGGACCCAGATTGTTTGAGGGCAAGAGGCTGACTCTGTAAAGCACTTAAGAGAGGCCTGTAAAGCATTGTGAAGCGTTATATAAGTCTATTGCCCTTCCTTCCACCCACCCATCCATCCATCATGCACAGTGGTTAGAATGCAGTATTGCAGGCTGACTGTCTACTGCCAGGTCAATCTTAACCAGCTCAAAGTTGGCTCTTCTGAGATCAGTAAAATGAGGAGCCAGATTGTTGGGGGCAAGAGACTGACTCTGTAAACCGCTTAGAGAGGGCTGTGAAGCACTTTAAAGTGGTATATAAGCCTAAGTGCTATTGCTATCTTTCCCGCTTAAGATCTCAGTCACCTGGGGACTGCTGCCACTGAGCTCCTTTGTGGAAAAGTCCTTCTCCAGAGTAGACCCGCTAGAGGCCTGGTCTTGTCTTAGGTACAGATCATGGGGTAAGACAAACAGTGCTGATGGAGATGGGAGAATGCATTCTTAAGAAACAAAAGCTCCTCTTCTTGTACATAAAAGGCTAACATGTATAGGGAGATTCAAACATTTCTCCTCTTATGCCAGTTATTTGACTTCCAGAGATTTTTTAAAAGAAGTACAGAACAGCTAAAAATAAGTTTCGCCATGAAGTGTTTGTTTTACAGCTTCGGAGTCTAGCACCCTATTCTCCTAAATATATAGGTACTCACGTATGTGGGGCTAACACCCAATTTGGTGTGTCTCCCATCCTCAAACAGCAGGGAACTTTCCTGCGGGGCCACTGCTTCTGAGGGCTAACAGCAGGGATGGGGTTTAAAAATCCCAGCAACCGATTTGCTGCCTGGTTGCTAGGTGGGCATGGCCTACAAGAACTTCTGGGGGCGGGGGGCGTTTTCACCTTTCCAAGGGTCCAGAGGTGTCCCCCAGGCCTCTGGGAGGGCGAAAATGGCGTCCCCCGGGCTCTGGAGGCCCTCTGGAAGCTAGAAACAGGCCCATTTCCAGACTTCCAGTACTTCTGGAAGGCCTGTTTTTCCCCCTCTGTGCGAACCCTGCACTTCCCTGCATAAAAAACGGGCCACATGGAGACTCCCGGGAGGGCCGGGACGAGTGGGGCAAACGTAACCGGTTCGCCCGAACTGGTCAGAACCGGTAGAATCCCACCCCTGGCTAACAGGTTGTCCATTCCTGATTTGGAATGGGAAGGCTTCCAAACAGGGAGGAGAATGATAGAACATGGTGATCAAACCAACAAAGGCAATGTGACATCGCTGTGAGCAGTTCACAAGCAGCCGTCTGATTCCCGTTGGGATAGAACTGGTCTGTGGAGAAAGTCATAAGTCTCAGGGCATGCAAGCATTTTGCCTTTGTGACTCAGGAGTTCTGCTGCAACACAGTCTCTCGCGTATGAGACCATTCGCTTCCAACCTGTTTATTCTCTGGCAAGTGATCAGCCCTAATATAATAGTACATCATTTGGTCCTCTAATATTGTTTATCCAAGCAAGAGTCTTTGGCAGGGCTCAATCGCTCTCATTTTGTCCCAGTTTTCCATGCACTGAGTTTGCCCAGTTTTTCAGTTGATGGAGTAGAAATTCCAAACAAACCATCAAAAAAGACTGAAAACCCAACAGCCTGGGTTCGAGACTCGAGCATCACACAATGGGTTGAGTGTCCATCTTCACCTAGCACAGGGGTGAGGGAAAGAGCCATCATTCCCCACCTCTGGCCTAGCTCCTGCCCACCTAGCAGTTTGAAAGGATGCCAATGCGAGTAGATAAATAGGTACCACTTGGGAGAAACAGCGCTCCGCAACATCATGCTGGCCACATGACCTAAAGGAAGGTTCCCTGGTATTTCCCTCCTGCCCTCTTTCCCTTTGATTCAATATCGAGATTGGCCATTTAACTGACCAAGCTATATAATTCAGGACTAATAATTTTGCCAAACACTAGAAAAAGGCATAAACTAGGTTTATTTTTTGCAATATGTAATATTTTTTTACAGATTTTTACTACGCAATAACTTTTTTCATTCTATGCACATAACATTTATAATGTGTATTGCTATTGCAGTGGCGATAACAGCTCGGTTTTGCACTACGGCCATGCTGGAGCCCCAAATGATAAAACCATTGAAGATGGAGATCTCTGGTGAGTGAAAGCGCTTTTGTCCTAACCCTTCGTTCCATCTTGTAAGGAAGGCAAGTTTTGAGCAGCAGCAACAACAGCTGTATAGTTGTTAACTGTTCATAATTTTTAGTTTATGTGCTCTAATTTATTAACTTCCTTCCCTGGTTTTACTGCAGAAAATTATGTCCAGGTATTAATGTTTAGCCTATATATGATCAAATATATATATTTGCAATCCTAACAAAAATCTTGTTTTTGAGCTTGTGATTTTGTTGTTGTTGTTTAACCAAAAAGGAATCCAGATCTTGTATTCTTGTGGAACTGGCACATTCTCCTCTTCTGAACTCTGATAACATATGAAAAAGCTGTTCTAAAGTTTTTATTTAAATCTCATCTTTCCCTTCATGCAGAAGGGAAACAAGACAAAATCCAATCGTGCTAAATGGAAACGTAATAAAGATTTTTTAAAAATTGGTGTGAATGGCAATGAGAAGGCTCAAACATTCCCATGTACAGAGAGTCCTCGACTGGGCCATCATTGAGCCTAGAATTAAGATTGTTCAGTAGGATAACATATGATCTCATCCAATTTTATTACCTTTCTTGTGGAGGTTGTTAAGCAAACATGGTAGTCGTTAAGCAAAACCCATTGTCCCAGGGATGGGATTCAACCAGTGTTACTACCGGTTTGGTGAGAGTTGCATTTTGTGCTGTGCGTGTGTGTACAAGCATTCATAAAAAGCCATCAGCTGTGCCGCCTGGACTGCTAACAAGCGCTGCGCGCAGGTGCGCAGCGTTTGAAAATCCTCTTCTTTCCTGCTTTTTCAACCTCAGCTGTGCCGCGCAAAGCAGCTGAAGTTGAAGAAGCAGGAAATAAAGGACAGCCAAGAGTCCAGGCAGGCAGGTGGGCCAAACAAATGACCAAAAGGTTGTTGCACTGAACCGGTTTGGTGTCTGCTGCTCCTCAGATCTCCCGGTTCTATAGAACTGGGCCGAACCAGTAGCATCCCACCCCTGCATTGTCCGTAAGCCAGGAACCAGAAGTAAAGACTGGTTTCTAGCAAGTTTGCTGTGGTGAATTGTCATGGACCTTTCTCTGCTAGCTTCCCACAAGTGAAGTCAGTGGGGAAGCTGACTGGAAGTAGCGCCTGCTCCCTCTGCTCTTTTGCCTGTGGGGGTCATTTGGTATATCTGTTTAGGTGAGGAAATATCTGTGCTGTGGTTAGCCGGCAGCAGGTGCGGATGGCTGAGGAGAGCGAGGACACAGATGAGGGGCCAGGACCACTTGGGAGTAGACTGCTGCCTTCAGAGATTGTGGGGGCTGGCAGCAGCGATGAGGAGGTTCCCCAGGAGCCTATGCCAGGTGTGCGTGCATGCAGGATTGCTCGTAGGAAAGAGCAGCTGCAGCAGCACAGGCGACTCGGGAGTCAGGCTGCAAGGTAATCGCCCTTCCTTCAAGACAATAAAAGCCAACTGTGAAACAAACGTCCTTTGCAGAAGGCAAAGACGTTTTGAAACTCCAGCCTCGTGGACATTCCAGTGTCCTGAGTTTGTATTTGAAGATTCTTGTATTGCAAATTATTTCTTGTCTTATCTTTTGGCAAGTCTCGCACAGTTTGTCAAGGCTTGTGCTTATCACAGCTGATTATTTTGCAAAAGCATTACAAGGTTTCTGTTCCCTTTGGATGGTGTTGGATTTGTTGGAAAAGGGCGTGGGTCAGAAGAACCTCAAGGGTGACAGGTTGTCTGGTCTCAACTAAGGCCAGGCTTTCCTCACGGGAGGTAAACGGCTGTTCCTTCTGCCTGCCTGTCTTGTGACGTTCCCGTGTGCAATTGCAGCTTTAACTTGCTTCTGTGAGGAATTGTTCCAGGGGGTTCCTTCCTCCTCTTCTTCTACTGCCAAATCACTGACCCCCCCCCGCCCCGAATAGAAATTGGGGCCATGCAGGGCCTGCTGCAAAAAAAGAGGGAAGGTTAATTCTATGTTTTCTGCTCTTGCACATCAATTTCTGCAGCCCCCTTCACTCACCTGGCCTACCGGCCGGGGTCACACACCAATACCAGGGTTGCCTTTTTAAGGAAGGGGGTTCCCAAGGCAAACTGAGAGAGCACAAAAGGAAAGTCACGTTGCGCCTGGCGACAAAACACAGACCTTTTGCCGCAGCTTTCCTTGTTCTCTCTATGATCCTCCAAATGCCAGCCTTCTCAGGTCAGAAATGTAATTTTTTTTCCCCCAGTTTAAAAGCCAGAGCTTGTCACTTTTGAAATATGAATTGTAGAGCTCATGGCTTGCATTTCCCCTGCCCCCCCCACCCCACCGCCAGCCCTTTCATAACAGAGAATAGCTGGTGTTGCACCAATTGGGCTGGAGGAATCTCTCCAGCTCTTCTATTCTAATTCTTCTTCTAAAGAAAAAAAGAATTAGGGATGACACGAAAGCGGTATTTGAGGGGCTGCCACAAAGAAGAGGGGGGTCAATTTATTTTCCAGCTCAAACCCAACAGGAACTGGTGCCTTTTGGGGATTTGACGAGAGGTTGCACGACGGCTGCCCTCCCAACAATAATTGACTCTGGGTGTCAACCGTCCCCACTTGGTCAGTTAGAAAAGAACGGCTCTCGAACTCACGGCTAGCGAAAGTCTACTTTACTAGAGCCCAAGCGGTTACAATGCAGCGAAGCCGGACCTGGCATTTCACGTCCAAAGCATACAGTGAACGTTCCTTTGGGTCCTGTCCCCCTCATGGTTATCAGGAGGTGCCCAGTAGTATTTATACCACTTGTTTTGCTAACGGTCCCCAGCTGTGTGAGCTTGAGGGGGTTGCAGTCCCCCCCTAGGTAGTCAATAGAGAAGCAACCTGGAATTAAGGAGAAACTTCTTAACAGGGAGGACAATTAATCAGTAGAACAGAAGTTTCCTTCAGAAATTGTGGGTGCTTCTTCCCTGGAGGTTTTTAAGAAGAGTCTGGACAGTCCCTTGTCTGAAATAGTGTAGGGTCTCCTACGTGAGCAGAGGGCTGGACTAGAAGACCTCCAAGGTCCCTTTGAGCTCTGTCCTATTCTTGGAACAGCCAGGAGGGCACAAAGACATTCTCTTTTCTTTCCTCTATGCCCCCTTCATCCCACCCCGCAGCTCCCTCTCCCCATTTCTCAGGACGGCCTGGCATCTAGCTGAGCAGACCTCTTGCAGCAGGATGGGGGGCCTGACATGGGGGCATTTCATGCTAGGCAGTGGTGGGATTCAAAAATTTTGATACCAGTTCTGCGGGCGTGGCTTGGTGGGCGTGGCAGGGAAAGGATACTGCAAAACCTCATTCCCTCCCCATCCCTACTAACCTGCTTTCCAGCTCTGTTCTCCTGGGCCAGGAAACCAAAGGAGACCCAGCCGATCATCTGGGACTCAACGGGATGGGATTGGCAGGGCCAGTCAGAGGCGGGATTTGCCGGTTTTCCAAACTACTCAAAATTTTCGCTACTGGTTCTCCAGAATCAGTCAGAACCTGCTGAATCCCACCTCTGATGCTAGGTATCATTTCAAGCCAGTGAGTTGGGGTGGATGATCTTTCCAAAGGGATCCACAGAGCTACACCTTCTCTGCTCAAGAAGGGAGCAAATAACTCCTCCGAGCCCAAGATCAAAAGATTGCTTCTGCACCAAGCCGCTGGAAATTACGGAGGGAGATGAAATGCAGGCCCATTTCGAAAGTGCACCCGGGGGACTCTTTCTCGATGGCCCAGTTTGCCTTTTCTGTGCCGTCCCTGTCCTTGGCTCGCCTTTGATCGATCCGTTCTGGAGAAAATCCAGCGCTGTGTTAGCTGGGTTTGGTAGGTTTGCCTGGCCTGAAGCCCGAGAGCCTTTTGCTGCTGTTAGTTCAAAAGCGTTTTGCTTTGTCGCAGAATATTAATATTGCTGGGAAAAAAACACATTTCACGTTTTATTTAGGCTTGGCTTTTAAAGAGCTGTTTGTTGCCTCCTCGGGCCTTGGTGCTCCGCAGCTTTTTATTAGCGTTATTACTCATTAGTAGTATTATGGGATGCAACGTGTGCGGCTCTCAGCCGGTTCTGCACATCTTGAGAGGTCAATTATGAAGTGGCATTTAATCCACAGTGCTGTAGAGGAGGGGTCTCCAACCTTGGCAACTTTAAGCCTGGTGGACTTCAACTCCCAGAATCTTTTGCTGTTTGATTCTTATTGGCTGCCATAGAAATGGGGGGGGGGGGGATGACTTGTGCGGACGCTGAAAAATACTGGACTAAAATCCACATGTGGTTGGAAAAAATGACAAAAACACATATAGACTTGAAACCAGAGATATTTTTATTGGGAATTTTACCTGAAATATATAGTAGACTTGAAATACCTGATTGTAAATGTATTAACAGCGGCTAGGATTGTATTTGCCAAAAACTGGAAAAATGAGAAAACACCATCACAGGAGGAAATCATTAAGAAAATATTGGAATGTGCTGAAATGAGTAGATTGACATTTGAAATTAGAGAACAAGAGGATAAACAATTTTATAAAATTTGGGATCTATTCTATCAATGGTTAGACAATAAAATACAGTAATGAAATATGTAGACTTTTAGAAAATAATAAATATATAAAGATGTACTTCTTATTATATCTACAAAATGATTTTAGGATAGATTTGGGATGATAATGTGGACTGTTATAAAACAAACTAAGTAAATTATGATTATCTTGTAAAACATGAATGAATAAAAGTATAGTCAAATGATTGATTAATAATGATACTAAGGTATTTAATTTTTGATTGAAAATACGAGATTATAGGCAATGTAATTGTAATTGAAGACTACGAAATGGAAGCACAAAACAATTTGTAAACCAACCGGCATACTGCATGTACACATATGGAAGATAGCTTGGTGTTTTTATGTTCTGTTTGTTTATGTTTGTTTTTTAAAACGAATAAAAACTTTTTAAAAAAAAGAAACGGGGGGGTGGGTAATTTGGTATTTGGGAGGGGAAGGTTGCTGGAGTGTGAAGATGTTCCT